ACTGTGCCATATCTTTGCCAAAACTGGCCCAGATACGTTTGAGGATAACTGGGCCACATTTGTGACATCATATGCAGGCCACTTTAGGCTCACAGCTACGTTAGCTAGTGCTCACTGTGCCCTATCTTTGCCAAAACTGGCCCAGATATGTTTGAGGATAACTGGGCCACAGTTGTGGCATCATATACATGCCATTTTAGGCTCACATCCACATTAGCCAGTGCTTAAAATGCCATATCTTTCCCAAAACTGGCCCAGATACGATTTTAATAACTGGGCCACATTTGTGGCATCATATGTGGGCCACTTTAGACTCACAGCCACATTAGCCAGTGCTTACCATGCCATATCTTTGCCAAAACTACAAAACTGCCCCAGATATGTCTTAATGTACCTGGACCACATTTGGGTTACACCCTGATTAGCCTTTGTCGATAATGCCACATTTTTGCCAAAGGTGGCCCACATTTGCACTATTTCGGCTATAATCACTGTTTACCACATGGGCCACTTTAGGGTCACATTCAAATTACACATGCCGTCAACACCGCATCTTTACAGAGGTCTACATGTGATTTGATACATTTGGGCCATTTTTGCTGTTTTACATATGGGCCACTTCAGGCTTACATCCATTTTGACCGGGCCATAAGAAGACCAGCAGTGCCATATCATTGCCTTATGTGGCCCACATCCGCATTCTATCTGGGGAACCATCCCTGTTGTGAATGAATCATTCAGAGAACGAATCTTAAGTTTTGTGAACAGGGTAAACCGATTCACTGAAGAATGATTCTATACTAGCTTTTTTCAGTGTGGCAAGTAATATTTGCTAGTTCATATCATTAGCAGATATATCAGAGCATTGATATTCATTAGTTGATATCTAATGTTTCGTAATTGATGTGAAAATGACATTACTGGGCAAATGTCTTGGTCACCTAAGGATCTTCTTTCTAAGATCTTGGCAAGACAGTACAGCAACCAATCAATGAATGTACCAGAGCCCTCCAGAAGATATAGGTGGAAGAAGAGAGAGATTATGAGTACTCTCTTATTGAGCTACAAATATTGTCACATTTCTCCACTGCAGCAGAACCACTGATAATTCAGGTGGAGCCAGAATAGCAAATTCCACTTGCTAAAGTGAAAATTTCTTCAATCACATTATTTAATTAAACAGCATACAATAAAATATGTTCTTTCTATGGCTTCCAAGTTTCAGTAAATACACTTGAAATGTAATGACTTGTGACTGCTGCGTATGATGATGATATAACGCTTTTTAATGAAAAAAGGTAAAAATATAAATATTTTAATAAATAAAAAGGTATTCTTTCTATAGCTTACAGATTTCTAGTAGCAATGTTATGTATGCCCAATGATGCAATGATGCCAATTATTTTATTTTTTTTAAATGAACAGAATAAAATCTATTCTTAAATTGCAGGGACCAACAATTTGCGCTTTTGTTATTGTGCTTTTGTTATTGTGCAATGTAAACTGTTACTAACTGTCGTAGAACTGTGAAAGCCAGCCACTGACGTCACTGCCATTGTATGATTGGCTGAGGGGCCTCACGTGATCCAAATTAGCCATTACCACATAGACTGTATAAAAACAGTGTTACTACTGATCTGTAATAGAGATGTGCTCTCATACAAACTTGTACTTTGTACTTCCATACAAAGATTTTTTGTTTCTAACTGCAGGGGCTGCAATGCAATCTCTATGTGTTCCGGGAAAGCATCGTCATCATACGTAACCTTAAACGTGGGGTAAGCAATTTTTCAAAAACGCTTTAGAAAACTGATTCGGGCCCACTAGCAAAACAAACTTGTAGCCAATCAGCAGTAAGGGGCGTGTCTACTCATGATATGGAGGAGAGAGCGTTCAGTCCTCACATTAGCGAGCTGAGCGACAGAAAGATAAAGATGGAGGATAAAAAACAAAAGAGGAAAACGTCTGCGGAACAAAAGAAGGCTTAAGGCAATAAGGCAAGAAGTAGGACCCGTGTAAATATCGGATCAGCTTTCGGAGCGGAAGGCCTGCGATCGGACGCCGAGGTTGCTTTGTTTCTTCTCAATAGGTGAGTAACACCGCGTCTGCGCCGCAACTAAAGTCTGTCTAGTACACTGTACGCGACAAAGCGACCGTTGAAAATAATTTGAAATTTGTGTCAATACGTCATGAATAGAACGCAGCAGCAGTTTTTTGTCTGGGATTTGTCATGTCGTGCAGTGCCGCATCCAGTGTAGACTATAGATATGTATTTATAACTCTGGTGTAGACAGCGTCACTGATTATAGTGAGTTCCATAGTATTTTGTCGCAACGCGCCACTCTCGTTCGGTGCAGACACGGTGTAACATTGGTTTTGCTTTGTTTCACAGAACTAATCGTTGCCTGGGTTGCGTACATATGTGTGGGGCGGAGCTATCAAAATAGGGGCGAGACCCTTTTGGGGTAGGGGCATGTTTGTTTTGGTCATTTCAAATGTCAACATTGGCTACCAGAAATCGCTTACCCCACCTTTAACTCGTGCAACGATTGATGGGAACAAACATAGCTACCTCTGTTAATTATCTTTAATACACTGCGATTTTCATCCGAATTGTGACTTGTGCGACTCTTTTTTTGAATCGGGATGAATTTCAGCTTTGTCGTGTGTCGCGCATTGTTTGTGAAGTGTTCAGGGGTAAATGAGAAGCCTCAATGCCTCTCCTGACTGACAATCGGACCGTCGGATGAATTTCTGACAAAAAAAAAGAATATGAAAAGTGGTGGATCTTTATAAATTTCGTCGCTATTAAACTAGCTGCAATTTAGCAAAACTGCTGACAGCTAATAGGGAAAAACGTTCTTGCAGTAACATTAGTAGAATGTTTTCTTAACGTTATCCGCCATTGATAAACATTCTAAAAATGTTAGCATAAAAACGTTATCCTTGCATTGTTAGTGTAACGTTTTAAAAACGTTATTTAAAATACGTCTTGACAAAATGAGTCATAATTTGCATAGCAGCATAATTTGTGTATCTAATGACACAAAGAATGACACATTCCAGTGGCCTTTTTCCCCCTGGCCTGAGAGAGAGAGAAAACTGATTATAGGACTAATTGTTCTTAAAGATGTTTTTGAAGTTGCAAACAAATGTTTAATAACATTAACTGTCACCGTCCCACCTGTGGGACGTTTGGCGCTCTTTTTTTGTTGTCTTTTTTCTCTATCAAATCTTTTAGTAATCATCATAAATCATATATCATTTGAAAGCTTAGAAGCCCAAGATTCATCCTGATTTAAAAAAAATGGGGGGTGACAGTTAAAGGGTTAATAGAACGTTAGTTAAAATGTTATCACATTATCACCTAACATGAGAACTGTTGAGTGTACAGATATCTTGTTTTAAAATACTTAACACATTTATGTCAATTAATTGAATGAAATGCAATTAAAATCTTTATTTTTTAATTAAAATTAAAAACTTACAATGTGCTTAAAAAGTCAGAAGACACGTTATTTATTCTCAAACTGTTTTTCTGACATGTGAAGGAAAGAATACACTAGAATGTAAAGTGTATATAATATTCAGTGTATACACATTCGACATCATCGGTGGGCGTGGCTTTGGAAAGTCCGTGACTCCGTGCGCGTCAATCAAGCACAGCGGAGAGGATCCGCACTCCGAGTCCGCAGCTGGCAGACGGCGCCTGTCTGGTAAGTTCTGTGACTTTTGTCGGATATATGAATAAAATACGTTTATTATCACACTGACAATCAGGTTGGGTTTGCAGCAAGTGCTGCAGTTTTGATAAAGTTATAGCTAGATGATCGATTTGCATGAACTAGTAAAACTGCTGCTCTGGTAACGTTAGAGCGGTTACAACAGTAAGTTACACAAATGTGTAAAACGGGAATAAAGGCAAAAATACATTTGTAGAAGTATTTAGACTAGTTGTTTCTCAATATTCTCTAGTTCAAGTAGAGAGTTCAAGTTTGCTCTTTCAGTATAGCAAAACTGATTTTCATTACACCGTGTTCTTCACAGAGTTATTCGGTTATCAAGATTAGCTTAGAAATGTCCGCGCCCGCGCATTTTTCCCTCCTGTTTTCAGACTCATGTAAAAGTTTAGCTACATTTTACATTTTGTAGGTAGATATCAGCTGTTTTTGGATCGACTGCACGGCCCCTGACTTTTTAAACAGCACTCACGAGTGGAATAAGAAAAAAACTAATGTGAAAATGGAAGGTTCGGTCCACACATTACCACTCTTTCTTTAAAGTGCCCCTATTATGGATTTTTGAAAATTACCTTTCATGCAGTGTGTGGGACACTCTACCAGAAACGTACATTTCCACTTGTCAAAATCTTGGGTGAAAAAAAAATATTATTCTTAAATCTGAACGTTGAGTCATATGGAGGACATGTTAATCTATATGAAACACATATCGTGCCATCTCAGCATGTTTTTATAATTGAAATAAATACATTTTTATACGCATTTCACCCCTAAAATGTCAGGCCCTGTCACAGACAAATTTGTATATGTTAGAATGGTTTCCTAATGAATTTCTTTGATACAAATAGCATTTTCTTATTGGTCACATGTCCCTGATTGTATCTAACATGGTTTTGTAATTTCTATAAGGAATATAAGCAACTTTTCGGTCAACCGTACTACACAAAATCACAGAATACCCCGCCAGGCACTCATATAGTTGTAAAAAAACTGCCTTTACATAGGAGATTTTTTCAAAAACATAGTAGTGGATATATACTCCAACCTTCATCTACACAGTTACAGAGATTAATTCATCAATATTTCCTCAAATATTACATTTTTATAACATAATTTCCTGCGTGACAGGACTGACTTTATGGATTTCGTTGATGCAAAAAAAGTTATGTTTTGTGTTCTTTATTTAAGTTTTGATAAGCATTCCTATTTTAAATTATTATTATAATTTTAATGTTAATGTAATATTAGACTATGGTAAAGTTCAGCCAAGGACATATAATAAGGGCCTAATTCATTAGAATATGACTGACAAATTAATAAACTAATTTCATTTTATTTCAATATAAAAACATATTTCATTTAACAATTCATTAAAATTCCATTTAACAATAACATGGCCAGATACAATAAAAATAAACGACTAGAATTGCACAATGGCATAAACTCAGACAGGAGTGAAAACAAAATTGTAATGGTACTACTAATATGGTCAAATTCATTTAACAATAACAATTACCAACTTGAATGGCACAAACTCAGACAGGAGTGAAAACAAAATTGTAATGGTACTACTAATATGGTCAAATTCATTTAACAATAACAATTACCAACTTGAATGGCACAAACTCAGACAGGAGTGAAAACAACAACCCCGTGTTGTGCTATGCTTCCTCGGGAAGATTACTGTGTATGCACTCGGAGATGGAACACAACACGGACATGTAAAGTCATCTTTTAGCGCCTAAACGGTCAAACACACACAAAAATGTGTCAAAATGCGGTGCTTAGTGATTATTCACGTAAACCCTAGTCGGTTATGTAATAAATGAATGTAAAGAGTTGAGAATGAAAACACTTGTGTAACAGTGAATTGGATCTGTGCGGCTCTTAAAGTGACAGCGGCTATATTCCTGCCGACTGTGTGCTTAATATTAATCAAACAACCAAAGACACATTCAAAATCACTCACTGCTCTTGACTGAAGGACTGTTGTAGCTTTAATAAGAAAAAAAAGGAAGTTTAATTCTTACAGTGAAGACTATGTGGTTTTATTTTATATTAGGTTATTAAATGTATCTAGTAGGCTGTTAACTGAATACTTTAGACTTGCATTAAAAAAAATTAAAGCACAGTTTGTTTCATTTGTATATTTTTATTCTATTGTATTCCTTTGCTTTTTTATTACAGTTTAATTATTTTCAATCATTTTGAGGACCTTTTTTGTTTTTTAACTCATATTAGTTACTCTGGTATTCTGCTGTGTGAAAAATTAATTTTGCACACCACAGGAACTTATAAATTGACCTAGTGTATGTATACTATATATATATATATATATATATATATATATATATATATAACAGGGGTGGTGAACTCCGGTCCTGGAGAGCCGCAGTCCTGCAGAGCTCAGCTCCAACCCTAATAAAAACTCTTACC